TAACGATCTACGTAATATTAAATGATGAAAGGATCGAAGTCGACAAATACATTTACCTGGGCCATGAGATGAACATGCGGCATGATCAGGCTGAAGAGATTAAACGAAAAAGGAGGACCGACTGGTGGGAGTTTCATTCTATGAATGTCGTCCTCTTCGGAAACCTCAGAGAAAAAGCCGCGGTAACCCCTTCAACTGTTGCGCCCTACTGGAGGTGTTGTATGACTGTGAGACATGGTTCCTGACTAAAGCCGAAGAGTGCCAGCTTTGTGTCATCGGAAGAACCATCAAAAGAAAAATGTTAGGAATTTTACGTCGCGACCAAATTCACAACACAGTGATGAGACAGCTGACGGGAGTGTAGGATGTTACCGTCGAAACCAGAAGGCAGAAGCTACGGTGGGCCGGGCAAGTAGCTGGGTTCACCTACGAAAGACGGTCGGTATCATCGAGTGGTATCTCAGCGGACGGACTAAGCCGTTTGGTCGCACGCTACGACCGTGGGAATATTATGTCAGGAGTCGAGATAACCACGCCTGGAGGGAGATAGCTCGAAACCGCGAGAGATGGAGGGTGTTGCGGCCTGCGCGAATCGCCGGCGATCACCGGTCTGTCCATGTAATCCAAGTGATATTCTTAGGAGATGGTTGAACCGTATGAGTAAAGCGACAGGGCAATATTCATCAAGGAACAACATGTTGTTGCGAGATCCAAAGAACGTGGAATATGTTTTTGTTTACATGCAACACATGCGGATTACTTACTAATCAGGTTTCGGGTTTCGGTTGCCACTTATCAACTTATGGGAATCGTTTACGAGTGAAACTTCATCGCTAATGACGTTGAATTACTTATAAGGATTATTAATCGACAGGCTGGATTAATGAAGAACGAATGCGGTGCTATGAGAAGTGGCAGAAAAAATAATTAAAATTCAGTTCAGTTCATTGACTCTAGCTTTCTTGCCGGAAAAGGTGCCAGTCAGATTGAAATGGAAGGTGTACAGAACAGCTGTTAAGACCGGTGCTTCTGTACAAAGCGGAGTGTTTGGCTACCCTGTAGAGACACGAGCAACAGCTGAACCCGGTATAAATGCGAATGCTCAGATAGATGTACGATGTCAGCAGAAAGGACCACATCCGAAACAGCTCCATAATAGGCACCCTAGGGGTAGCACCAATTTCAGAGAAGGCTATCGAAAGCAGGTTGCGCTGGTTCGGTCACGTGAAAAGAAAACCCATCGAGTACTTTGGAAATGTGGTCCAAGCACTGATACTTCCCGGGGGGGGG